TATCTTCTAACCAAAAGCATCATAACAACTACTCAGTCACACCTCTAGGGCGAGCTCAACCAGCATAGCCGGTATTTACATTCCTCGGATAGAGCCTGTAGCAGTATAGAGTGGCCTCACCCGTCCAAGAGCCACAGATACAGCACCATATGGTGGAGAATTGCACTCCTAAACGGAGACACGAGCGACTAAGAAACAATCAGCAGCAGTCAGTTTACACACAATGAAAAGTAGCAGCAGTAGCAGTAGTAGCAGCACGGATAGTAACAGATGTTCCAGAAATGATAGAAATCACTTTGATGATACATTACCAATACTGGAAACGATAGTAGCATTAAAATAGTCCTTCACCTCGTCTATGCGTGCAAGCCAGATTAGCACGAGCAGTAAGAGCAGCAGTAACGAGTAGCATCTACCATTATGAGAGGATACATCATCTCCAACAACCATCGCAGCAGTAGCCGATTCTATCTAAGAGCCGACAAGCAGGGGCTCTTCGAGCTTCGGAGCTCTGGGAGTTCCAAGAGAAGCCGCAGTACTGGTACTATACAAACGGTTTCTTTCTCTAGCATAATGCTTGCGGCGCTTCACCCAACTCTGGTTACGAATGCGATTACGCTTGGGTGTGATGGAAACATGTGGGCCAGCTGTGCACCCTTCTGTATAGCCACTCGAGTCGAGAGAGCGACCACAGCAAAGGTAACTGCAGAAAAAACCGCTGTAACGCAGGCCAAAAACAACACTTACGTTCTGGTGAATTGGAGGTAGTTTCCTCCAGTAACCTCCAGATTATCTTCATAACCCTGGGGATGGTAGGAACACTCATTGCTAGTGTTATCGGACAAACGAAAAATAGCACCACAGCGATCCTGAGAGTGACTGTGGGCTAAGCATTATACCATGCTACTTACACAAGGTCTTTCGCGCTGCCATTCTTTCTGAAGGCACGGCAAAATCGCTGCATTGATGCCTCTATTGGTCGAGCTAAGGGCTCGCAGACCGCCCCAGCGACCAGTAGAGCAGAATCTGAAATATGAGAGATCTTATCAGCAATTGATGTCTAGAATGAATAGGGTTACCCTCCGATTCTAGCAAGAACCTCAGGGGGAAGCTCTGATAGCGACCCCGTAGGCCTGCGTATAGGATCCTTGATTGACATGATTAACTATAGATTAAAAGGAAGGGTGTGGGTAGGTACAAGACCTAAAAAAATATGTGAAGTAGCTCCACCGAACGGTTACTGTGAGGTTCTTTCACTCCTAACTTAACATGAGAGATAAAAAAGAGACTAGCGTAAGATCGTTTCACTAA